CAAGGAGTAGCGTTGTGTCAATGACATGGAGAGGGGTGTGGTACCTCCCTGACTTCAAGGTTGTCCATCCTGCATGTTTTATACATTGTATATTTGTGTCTCATTAATGATGACTTTATGAAATTCCATGACACAGTGGAAGATATAAGTGCGAATTTGTGTTTATACATACAGTCATTGAAGGTAAGCAGGGTTCAGGGCAGGCCTTTGGAATGATAATGTTAAACTATAATATAAGTTATTTGAGCAAACATCTATTAAACACCTTCTTTGGGTGCCTGGATGGCTGTCGGTTACGTGTCTGACTTTGGCTCAGGTCATGATCTCACGATTCGTGGGTTTGAGCCCCACACTGAGCTCTCTGCCCTCAGCTGGAGCCCACTTCAGATCCTCTGTCTCCCTTTCGCAGCTCCTCTCCTGTTCATGTGTGCAGGTGTGTGTGCACTCTCTCTCTCAAAAATAACTTAAGAAAAACCACACTTTCTTTATGTCATGCTCTATTGCTACCATCAGAGAATTCAAAAATGAGAAGGGCATTCTGCCTTTGAGAAACTCTCTGTCTAGTGGGGAAGACAGAATCAAAAAGAGCTAACAATGTGATGGAAATGAGCTCAGGACTATAAGATCAAAGCAGTTTATTTCACCGAGGCTACCAAGAAGGCTTTACAGAGGAAGTAACATTTGAGGAAAGGCAAAGATCCTTGAAAGTGAATGAGCTCAGAGGACTTGCCTGTCACTGTGTGAGATGCAGAGAGGGAGTCAGGGGGCTTTACGTGCACCTGTGATGGTTTTCCCTGTCCTATTCTTTATTATGAGATTGTCACCGTTATGCTCAGCACTGTGTGAGTGCTTTGCTTCAATGCTTCATTCCTTTCTTACATAAGAGCACATCTTCACCTAACAGTGTCTATAAATTGGTGGGTTGAAAATGTTTAGGTTTTAGGGGCACCTGCATGGCTCAGTCGGTTGGGCTTCCGACTTGGGCTCAGGTCATGATCTCACGGTCCATGAGTGTGCTGACAGCTCAGAGCCTGGAGCCTGCTTGGGATTCCGTGTCTCCCTCTCTCTGCCCCTCCCCCACTCATGCTCCATTTCTCTCAAAAATAAATAAAAATTAAAAAAATTATTTACAAAAAAATGTTTAGTCTTTAAATAAACATCCTCCATATACACCACCGCATGGGTTTTCAGAATATTGTTCTTCAGGCCCAGTTACAGTTTTATATTAAGCAGATCACTTAGGTGATCACTGAAAGATAGTCATTAGAACCCAGAGGAAACAATGTGTGCAAAACATCGTTCATTTGAGGGCCACTGTTTTGAAATTTCCTGTTACAGTCAGTGACTGAAGATTTTATTTTGCCTTATCCATGAGAAAAAATTATGAAGAAGCAAATAATGATAACATGCACAATTATTAGATTGGTCTTCCATCTGATTGAGGGAAGAAGCTTTTTGAATGGCCAAAGGAACTATCTCCAAATAATTATACAAAAAAAAATTTATTCCCTTTCACTTCTTATCCACTCCTGAAGCAGGTACATGAAAGACTTTTTATAACATGTGTTCTAGTTCCTCCAGCTAGACTTGCATAGTCATTTAAGCACACACAGACCCACATCATGCCTCATTATGGCACATCACACACTACCTTGGGCTGTGGATGCTCAAATGCATCTGAACTTTTCTATTCTCCTATGATTTCTAATAGAGAAGAACTTAGATCTGGTTTGGCTGTGCGAGAGCTTTAAGTTATTCTATAATTTAATAATTTTTCATACATAGAGCTCTCTGAAACAGACGCATTATTTTTGTAATTATTTTAAGTTTTTATTCTTTCAGTTAGTTATTATAATTATTATTATTTTTTACTACCCCCATCATCCAATTGCTCCAAATTAATGGGTCTTTAGCCAGAAGAGGTTCCAACTGCAAAGTGTCTCCTGGTATAAATACCCCAGGAGTATTTATCTGCCTAAAAAATCCCGACGTGGTTTATAATTTAGATTTGAAGATTCTCCAATTTGCCAAAAAACAGCTGTATGAAAGACTTTGGACGAGGTATTTGACCTGTCTGAGGTTCAGTCTTTCTAACGGCTAAGTGGCAACCTATTTGCCTTCTTTGCAGGGCTGTAGTAGAGACGAAGACAAGGATGGATATGAAGAGTCTGACAGAGGAAACTTACGAGTTACTGTCACGAAATAGTAAACCAGATCGTATGCTTCAAGTTTGGGTAGTATTTCCATGGGCAGAGACGCACTAGGTCTTAAGACTGAAGTTCCTTCGATTTAACAAGCATCACCGAGGCTCCTGTCAGGCGTTGGGAACAAAACAGTGTGAACAAAACCCAGTCTCTGCTCTTAAAATTCTGTGGGCTCAGCAATTATCTAAGCCAATTACTGCAAAATATTGTGGTAAGACCTACAGAAGCAGCATATTTTCAAAGTACTAGGAGCACAAACAAAGCCCTTGTTCTGCCTGAGAAATTGGAAAATGCTCAGAGAGGTGATGTTTGAGATGAGGCCTGAAAATGTGAGGATTTAATAGGGGTTGCAGGCAGAATAATGCTCTCCCCCCCAAAAGATGTCGTTCATGTCCTAATCCCTAACCTCACATAGAAGAAAAGGGAATTTGCACTGTGACTAAGATTAAGGACCCCAGGTGGGGAGATTGGCCTGGATTGCCTGGGTGAACCCTGTCTAGTCACGGGAGTCCTTAAAAATGGGGAACCTCCTTTTCCTCGATACTGTCCAGGGGAGATGCGATGAAAGAAGTATGGTCAGAGGGATGCGGTGTGAGGACTCAAAGCCACTGCTGCTGCCTCTGAAGATGGAGGAAGGGGCTGGGAGCCAAGGACTGCAGATGGCTTAGGAAAAAGGTAAGGAAGGATTGCGCCCTAGAGCCCCCAGAAAGGAACGCAGCCCTATGTTGGACTTCTGACCTCCAGAACTATAACGTAATACATTTGTGTTTTTTCCACCCACTAAGCTTGTGGGAATTTGTTACAACAATAGAAAACTTACAAAATGGGGAAGGTTTACCAAAATGGAAGCGTGATCAACTGCCCAGAGGCACACAAGAGAACGGTAACTTCCAACAACTGCAAGTAGTCCACACGGCTTGAATGCAAACCGTATGTAGGGGGAAAAGACAGGAGAAGGGCTGGGAAGAATCAGACCCTTGGTGATAACAGCAGCAGTAACAAATAGCAGCAACAACATAGTTATGGGAACATTGGCTGGGCACCTGATGCGTGCCACATACACGTCCAATGTTACGTGTATTAACTCTAAAACTCAAAACCATCCTATAACACAGTGACTATCATTATCTGTCTGAAACCGAGTCATCGAGAAGGCTAATGTCTCACTCAAGCCAACACAATACCGCAGGGCCAAGCTAGGATTCAAACCCGGGTTCCAGCCGCCTCCCTAAACACAGCACCCTAAGGGGCAGGACGGAGGCCCGGAGGAGTTTAGGCAGGCAACAGACCATTAGAACTGAGGCTTGGGGAGTGCAGGGGAGAGAAATCAGACCTTCATTTCCGTATTATTAGTACGCACTCTCTGTGTGTTTATTGTAGATCCTTGAGAGTCAGCAACCCATGAGCAGAGAGGAAACTAGCAAAAGCTACGGGAGAAAAAGGGAGTTGAGGAAAATGAAACAGGGCCAGAGAGATATTTCTCAAGGATGGACAAATCTGCTGCAGATATTTCCAGTGAAATTTGCTGTTTATTTCACAACTCCCAGGACCTCTGTCCTTCCTGCTTTTTGACAAGAATCAGGAACTACTTCCTTTGTCCACACTTCCTGTCACTCAGGCAGTTGGAGAGAGAGAGAGAGTGTGTGTGTGTGTGTGTGTGTGTGCGCGCGCACGCGCCTGCACACTTAATTCTTAAAGACTAAAATGTCTGCAGATATATATTGCAACACCGTTAGATTATTTTAAAAGGAGCAGTATTGGGGCACCTGGGTGGCTCAGTCAGTTGGGCGTCTGGCTCTTGATTTCTGCTCGGGTCACGATCTTGCGGTTTGTGGGTTCAAGCCCCGCTTTGGGGTTTGCACTGACAACACGGATCCTGCTTGGGATTCTGTCCTCCTCTCCCTCTGCCCCTCCCTGGCTCTCTTTCTCTCTCACTCTCTCTCCAAATAAATAAACACTAAAAATATTTTTTAAAGAAGCAGTATCATTTTCTTGTCTAGTGGGCCCCATTAGATGTCCTATTTGGACATCCATCGTGCCACATGTGCAGACGAATTACCACAGGTCAAGGGTCTTCCACTTGCTTCTGACCCTTGTCTGCTCAGTGGTACTTTCAATGAGGAAGTGAATAAATGAATGAATGAATCCTTCTGGAAGCAGACTTTATGCTAGCTCCAGATGAACTAGGAACTCCTCTGAGCACTGTAACAAAACCAAACCAAATAAATAGGATCCATCTTAGAATCATCTGGAGATTTTAAGGTATTTCAGTGCCCACGCCCCATTCCAGACCCATGAAAACAGAGCCGTTGGGGTGGGGCTTGAGTATGGTTACTTTTTATTTTTTTAACATTTATTTATTTTTGAGAGACAGGGAGAGACAGAGCACGAGCAGGGGAGGGGCAGAAAGGGAGGGAGACACAGAATCCGAGGCAGGCTCCAAGGCTCTGAGCTCTCAGCACAGAGCCCAGCATAGGGCTCGAACCCACGGATGGTGAGATCATGGTCTCCATCAAAGCCAGACGCTTAACCAACTAAGCCACCCAGGGGCCCTGAGTGTGGATACTTTTTAAATGTCCTACTCCCCAGGTGATTCCAATATTCTCTATGATCAGGAAACCACCTCTCTAAGCCTGTGAGAGGTCTTTTACCTTCACGAAGAAACACTATGCCTTTCGAATCAGAAACACAGGTTAGATTTCTTTCTCTCTCCTTCAAGTAATTTGAGGAAGTTGTTCAGTCTTCCTGAGCTTCAGACCTTCATCTCTAAATTGTCATTTAATACTTCTCCTACAGAGTTTGCAGAAGAATTAAATGCCATCAAATATGGGAGGCCACTGGCACAGCCTGACACACAGTAGGTGCTTAGTACGTTGGAATTCTCACCTGCTTTCCTCACATTTCCTCCCAGATATCCAGGTAGGACGTCTGTGGGGAAACAAACAGTGATGGCTCTGATCATCTCAGTGCCTCCCTCCAGCCAGAAGACCTGTGCACCAACTCTGTTATTCACCACATCTCCAAGGGAGGTTCCCAGCACTGGCCCACACCTTTCCCGGGCAGCTGGTGCCCAGACTTGGACACACTGTCCCTCGTCTTGTAAGGGTATGCTCCCTCTGACCCTGTAACAGAGGGGAACAATGGAGGTTGGGTCCAATCACCTGGGGCCAATGATCTAATTACTCTGTTGGAATGCAATTCCACGGTATGTTTAACTGTGTCCCTGTCCAGATCACCTCTGCACTGGGCATTCGTGCAGCTTGCTGAGCCTTCTGCCCGTGAGTTCCAGCCTGTACCAAGTGATGCTACCGGGCATTTGCCAGAACCCTTTACTCAATACCATCTTCTCCAAGAGCTTGCCAGAGGCCACTGTTTGAAAATCTGGGCTACACAGATGAGCTCTGAGGCACACCTGTTCAACAGCTCTCACTACTCCAGTCTCCTGTGGACATCACGCCTCTCGTTTTCTGCCACATGCCCTATCTGTAAAAACTGCTGGAGACGCTCTATTTCTACTCCCAATTCCCTGGTGTGGGTTTCTCTCCATACTGAGCAATTCTCCGACACCAGCTGGGTGTCCTAAACTTCAACTCAATTCTGACACCGTCTCCCTGGCAATGTCATCCCAGGCTTCAGGCAATGCATTGTGCGTTTTGTTTATATACAGGCATGTTGACGGACTTTTACTCTCAACGCAAATGAGACAGGAAACATCACTCAGCGGACAGGTGTCATCATTGCTCTTGGAAAATGAAAAGTGCCAAACTCTGCATTGATGCAACTGGAAGGCAAGTGAAGCAAGGTCCTAGACCCATTTGTTGACAAAAGTTCCAGAAAACTGATGGACACAGTCATTCTTTATTTGCATGACAGAAAGAATACCTTTTCTGCAGTAACTCCTTCCCTGGCTGGACTCTGGGGCTCAAATCGCCTCCCATTCAGAGCTGCCCAGTGGCTTTCCTGGGATATATCTGTGTCTGGCGTGGTGGAGCGGATCAGGGCTTTCTTCCCTAAGCCCCAGCTTTGCATGCCCAAAACCACAGACTTCTTTTCGGTAAGACCAATGAGCAGGAATTCCTAGGGCCCTGAGAAGTACTTCTTTTTCCAGTTCTAACTACTGGTGGATTTGGGCTGGCTCTCTGGGTCACGCATTAGCCAAAAGAGAGAGACAGAGACAGAGACAGAGACAGAGACAATCCATCCCTTTGGGGAGTCCTGAACACCCGCCCGATTAGCTGTTTGCTGACAGTAGATCCTTCAGAGGAACCATTCAGATCTGAGAGATGCCCAGCTTCCCCGTGTCCCCATGCCACAGCCCACCTAGAAAGCCAGGTCTGACAGGTGAGGGAATCAATGACACTCCAGCTGCCTCCGAGGTAATCCTCGAGGAGAGACTTGCCAGGTGGACACTGATAAAGAAGACAGATGACTGAGTGCCTGACTCCACAGTCATCAATAAACGCTGACAGTTGGTGCAGAAGAACCAAGTTGCCAGAGAAAGAGGGGGAGGTCTGCAGCTAACTGTGCAGGCACAGGCCAGTCACTTGCGTGTTCACCTGGTGTCACTGACGTCACGCGTCCTCAGAAGGAGGGCATGGCGTCCCCACGCCTCCAATACTGACCAGGAAGTCAAAACTAAGCAAAATAAAACTTGCTTCATATTTTTAGCTCCCAAAGCCACTGAAGGCTGGAACATTGAAATGACTCCAGTTTATACCCCTTGGCAAAAAGTGTGCTGCATATTTTAGAAAATCCCTTATTGTTTGCAGAAATTTTGAAAGAACACCCAATTTGTGGCTATTTCTAAATGTGCTCCTATGCCATAGTTAGAGGCATCCTCCGGAGTAAGCTGCCCGATGCCAATCAGGAGTAGACCTGAAGCATTTTTCTTAATTTTAGCAATAACTGATACAAAAGCTCAAACCACACTCTCAATATTTTATCATCAGTTGGTAAAGCATCCACAAGACAAGGCATTCTTGTTATCTCTTCTCCCACTCACGGTCGTCGGTTCCCTGCCTCCTGGTCTGTGGGGAAACGTATGGCAGGAGGAAAGTGAGGGGCCTCGCTGAATGTGCTTCCCAGGCTGTGGTGTGCATCGAACAAGGTGACAGATTGACACTGGAGGCCATAAGCTCCAGTGTCCTACCCATGCTGTTCGTTAGCAGTAGGAGTGCTTTTTCTATCATGCCAAAACTGGAATGTCTTTCCTGAGCTCCCCAGCCTGGGTGAACCTATTCTAGAATGTTCTGTGTGCCCTTCCATCAGAGCACTGTTCTCACTGCATTATCATTGTCCACCCCCACCCCCACCCCGAAGGAAAACAACATAACTTACAGATCCTTTGAGCCACAGTGCCAGGAAAGGGTGGGTGTTTTAAGTGCTTTAGATAAAGACAGACTGGAGGAATGAGCAAAGGAAACATACAAATGTGAAGAGACCCTCCTGTTTCCTAGTCCAGGGGGGCAAGCGGGCAGACTGTTGTTCTCATCAGACTTGGTCAGTGGAGATTCAGCTGCCCTTCCCTGCGGAAGGCCCTCCCATATCAACATCACTGTGGGAAAGGGACTTGCTCGTTCCTGCAGATTCCCTCACATGCACAGCACAGGGGAGGATTACTCTCTCGGGGTATCCCTTACTGCTTTAGTCAATCCGGGTGCTCTGTTTGAAATCCAGCACGTGAGAAGGTCTGGGTAAAGTTGCTGGGATGGAAGAAAACCTTGGTATTGACTTAAGACGGTGGTGTGCCAGAGCCAGCTCATACTGGAGGGAGAGTGAGACAGAGAGAGACACAGACAGAGAGAATTGCTAAATTCCCAGGAATTTCACTAACCAGTTGATATCATGCTGATATCTTGACATTGGCAATGGTTGGCAGTACTCACCCCCTGAAAATTGGTCACTGCTGCAACTGAGACCTCTTCTTTCCTTCCAGGGTGCTTGTTGTTAAATATTTACCAACACACCCCTAACTTAAGGTTGCATTCAAGTGTGGAATTCACGATTTTGCTGGTGCTTTCTGAATTATATTCTTTTCTCCTCCTCCCAAGGTGCCTTTGAATTCCACCCCATCTGCTCTTTGTGTGTACTTCTGGAGAAATCCTAGTGTTAGGTTCACAGAAGTCAAAGCAATAGATTGTTTGTTTGTACAAAGCCTTTCTATTGTTTGAAGTGATTTCACAGCCGGTTCTTCATTTTGATCTGTACCACAACCCTGAGAAGGACAGAGTTCATACTCTTATTTCCATTTTGCAGATGGGAAACCTGTAGTTCTGAGTGGATCTATGGGAATGATGGGGCAAGGTAAGGGAGAGGACCCAGGGATTTTCCCACCACTTTGCTGCCTCCTGAAGTCACTAGACAAAGCAGCCACTATTCCTAGGACAGACTGTGGCCGGGGAGAGCCAAACTGCAGTGAGAGCAGAAACAGCTTTTATGTGGTTTGGGGCTGCATTCTGTGATTCTTTATGTAGAAGCAAATTGTCCTTTTAATTATTGTGTGGGCTGTACTGAAATAGAGGCACATTCCTTGAGCCACTGGCAGCAGCCAGAATGGCCCAGGTGTTCAGCCTGAAGATCCGCCAAGTTTCAAACTTGATGCTTATAATCGCGAGTGGTATCTGGGTTTCTACGCAGAATGTTTTGTTTTTTCAACTAGGACTTTGGAATATTATAAATGGGAAGCACGATGGAATCACCAAGCCAGTCACAGTGTATTCTATTATGAGAAGGAGCTGGGGACAAGGTAGTAGGTAGGGGACAGTGATCAGAGGGTGTTCACTGAGCCATTGAGGGACCCCGTCCTGTCCACCCTGATCCATTTCAGCCCTGGGAACCTCATCACCGTTTCAAAGGGTAAGCTCACTTGGTTGAATGGCTGGGACTTATTTTTTGAAAATGCCCTATTTTCTCGCATAAGGTTGAGGCAAGGAAGCATGTTGGCCTATACAGAACTGGGGTCTCCAGACAGTCGAAGCAAAGAAAAAGCCAGACCCCTATCACATATTCCTCTTTATCCTTCTACCTTGGGGCCGGGGTGACCCTTGCCTACTTGCCACTGCATATGAATGACCTGCCAACAAGATTTCACCTTACCCTCCTGGAAGATGAAGAAGGGCCACACAATTCCCAGAGTGGGGGTTGCTGTCTCCCTTGTGCCCCTTCTCTCCTTTTTCATAATGTCACTCAAATTCCTCGTTGGGGAACTTCTGCTCTTTCTTGTCACGTTGTATTTGTGGGGCTAAGAGTCAGTCTTAGTGGGATTTTTAACCAAGAGCTTCTCCCCTCTCTCGGCTAAAGGGAGACCCCGGACCCCCCTCCGTCACTCAGACTCTCTGGCCTGAGATCCAAACACAGTTCCACGAGGGGAATCGATCAGTGCTAGCTCATCCCACAGGCCGAGACGTGAGCTGCCCATCCGCAGGTTCCTGAAACTTTGCCCTGGATCCTGGTTTATCTGTGGACTGACTATCCTTCCTGTGAAGTCACTTAATACTTTTCCAATAAATTCTTTTTTGGTTTGGTCTTCTCAAGTTACCCAGTTGGCCTATCGTTCTAGTCTAACTGGTAGAATCCTAAGTGGATGAAAACCTTGCCTGCTGAGGCAGGGGGCTGTAGGCACAGACCACTGGCATCTCTGGGCAGGTCTGAGTGACCTAGTTATGGCATATCCCCGTTGAGCTACAACAAACCAAAGTCAGTGGCATGGGGAGTTGAGAATAAACCTGAAAATACTGTAAAACTTTGGGTTACAGATGACCAAGACCTTTTTCTGATATCGAATGAGCACAAACTGGGAACTTGTATATCTTCCCCCAATTTGTTTCTGAGCTCACTCGGCTGGGGTATGATGGAAATGGGCCAGGTGGACAAATCCTGAAAAAATTTATGATGTCACCATGCTGCTGTTCTCATTTATTCAGTAACTCCAAACTGAGCACCTTCTCTGTGTTAGGAACTGGCCCAGAGAGACAGGTAGGATGCCCTCTTGCCCTCAGGTGACATGGTTAGAAAAGTGTCTGAGGAAAACAGCCCAGGCTGATGCCCTGGCATGGAATAATCAGGGCTATAGTGAGCCATGGAGGCATAGAGGGCTCCAGTGACCTACTGAGTAACATAGGGGGAGAAGCCCACATGACCCTATTTCCTGACTCAGGTGACAGTATGTCCCTGAGATATTAATGGGCCACCTTTTTTCCCCTGTGGTGGGTGGTTGGAAGAGAGTTGGTCTATGAAGGCTCAGAAGTCAATGCCTTTTTATTTTGTTTCTCAGGAGAGTTGCATTTCTCCTGGCCCCCCGAGAAGAAGAGCCCCTCCACTCCGGAGTACTCAGAGACCACACAGCAGACCTCCCTGCCACCTGCTTTTCTCATAGTCCTTGGACTTCTCAAGACCACAAGAAGCACACACAGGAGGAAACTGCTTAGCAACTGCACGTAGGAAATTAGGAATCCAAAACATTACTGCGAGTTTCTTCTTCCCTACTTCGTTCTCCTATGTCGTTTTCGGTTGTTCGCGATTCAGTCATTGTTCCATCACACGACACGCTAACTGGTTCTGCAGGGTCCAGGATGGGAGCTGCACGGAGGCCCTGCTTGCCTTCCTGGGGGGCTGCAGGCAGAGGTCCTAGGGCATGGCCCCAAAGGGCTGGCTGGCTGGGGGAGGGGGATGCAGGGGCTTGGGCTTGGGCAGCCCTAGAGTGAGGCTGTGCTCAGGCCCCTGGGGTTCCCTGGAGCTGACCCTGCTAGGGTTCCCCTCACTCTCATCCCTTCACCTCTGCAATCTGGCCGTCACCCAGTGCTTCTGTGCTTTCTCTCTTGGCAAGATGGGTCCCTCATCCCTCAACCTCTGTCTTTGTCCCTCTGAATATGTGTCACCATCTCTGCATCTCTCTTGCTCTTTCCTTCTCTGTGTCTAAGTTACTGCCCTCTCTGTATTTGCTCTCTGTATCTCTAGCTGTGTCTCTCTCTGCTTCTTTTTATTTCTGATTCTCTCTTTGGGTATCTCTGACTTTGTCTCTTTCTGTCTCTGATTCTGTCTTTGTCTCACACTTCTCTCTGTATCTCTTGGTTTTTCATTTTCTTTCCCCCTTTTCTCCGTTTGCTCCCCGTTCTTTCTCTGACTCCATCTCTGCCTCTGTTCTCTTTTTCTCTCTACCTCCCTTCCCGCCACTGACACTCTCTCTTTTTGAAGCTCAGCAGCTTGGCCCACATCCCAGACAAAATGGGCTCAGTTAGTAGGATGGCTAATATTGCACATTGAGGGTTAATTTTTCTCCCTCATCATCAACTCCCCTTCCATTTCAGAATCCCTGAGTCTGGCCCAACGGGCTTCCTGGGAAAGTGCCCACGTGCCGTGGCAGAAGCCACCCAGCCATACTGCACCCCAGAGAGTGCTGAAGGAGGTGAGATTGACGACTACAGTGTGCAGCGTGCAGGGATCTCTCTGGCAGTGCTCCAACCAGTCAGAGCCAATTAATATGAAATCAATAGGCCAAATCGACGTTTTCAGAAGTTAGCTCAAAAAAATCCCTGAAGATTAACCAGCCTGTGGCCTTTGCTATGAAATTGTTACCACACCACTTTCTTTTCTTTTGAAAGTCCAGATGGGCAGATAAATCCAAAGTGGATCAACCACATCTGTCATTCCTCCACACAAATTACACCCCTCCCACCACTTCCCTCTTTCCTCTCCAACATGCGACAACACTCAGGGTCTGGGCTGGATTGATATTTTATGCCGTACTGTATGGTTTGAATTCCCCATTGTATTAAGAGGAACCGCATCGTGACCCCTCTGAGCCAAAGAGCTGGAACATTCTGAAATCTGCCTTTTCCAAAGGCGAGAACTGCAGGGGCAGAGGGGGCCGCTTTCTTCCAGGTTCAAAACTGGCCAACAGTGAAACCCAGCCACATCGGCTTCCTTCCACGTTGTTCTGAACCAGTACTCAAACCAGAGAAGCTTTGGTGGCTATTCTCCATTTACAAAGCCCCCTTTTCTATAATTGCCAGGTAATGTGGTATCATGCCCAATTGACATGAGGTTACTACTAAGGTCATTCTCTGAGAGGAGAGTGGGGAGGGGGGTTGGGAGGAGGCTACAGGGCTCCTTGGGTGACAGTGGCTCTTATGCAGAATGGCCCGTGCTGTTTGAATTAGGGTAGTGGGGCAGGGGGAGTTGAGCCAAGCCTGAAGAGGTAAGACTGGTACCTCAGGATGCCTATCTAAATGGGTCCTTGGAAGAAGGTAGACTTGAAGCAGGTGTCAGAAACTGAAAGGTTTGGGAAGACTCAAATCAAGACGGTACTGGGAGCACAGGGTTGAGAAATGCTTAAGAAACTGATGTCCATGCTGGTTGGTGGGTGGGACACACAGGGGTGTGAAAAGGTTGAGGACAGATAGACAGAATCTCCAGCCAAAGTCAGGAGGCTTTTCAAGCCCAAGCCCTCCAATTCCAGAACATATGCTCCTCAGGTACAGCAGTGTTTGCCAGTTTCTTTAGGAACAAAGCAGCCAAGTGAATACACATGGTTTCAGGTCAGGGGCACCTACTAGAAGCTTACTTTCCCTTTAGAATTATTAAGAAAATTATAGGAATATGTTCTATTTTGTGTGAGCTAGGACTGTTAGCATGGAAACAGAGGTTTCACATTAAAAAAAAAAACCCTAAATTGTAGAGTCCCAGAGTTGGAAAATAACTTAAAGATTGATTGATCCATCCTCCTGGTTCGACAGACGAGGAAACAGAAGCCAGGAGATGAAATGGCCCACACTCTTCAACTCCAGCATTGCAAGTTGATTGTGTGGTTGTGATGCTTCTTCATGCCGTGCTCTGAGGACTCAGGGGATGGAAACGGTGTTATTTGCATAGGTTGGCCGTCTTGGGGTTTGAGGCTATACAAGATGGTTGTTTGAAAGGTTAAGAGAGCCTAGACTTACAGAAAAGTCTGGGTCTGTACGGCTGTGTCATGATAAGCAGCAGCCCTGGTATGGTTCTGAGGTTCCAACACTGGTGACCTTCAGAGCAAACCTGCTCTGAGCCCCGCTTTGCTCCTGACAAGAGCATGGCTTGGGTAGCGTCCTGCTCCCTGCTCTCCTGCTCACCTCCACAGTGGACCCTGAGAAGCCCTGGCTGTGTCAGCAGCTGGCTTGACCCTGCAGACCACTTCCCCGAGAGATGGAGAGACACAGAATTGGAAGTAGGCTCCAGGGTCTGAGCTGTCAGCACAGAGCCCGATGCAGGGCTCGAACTCACAACCGCGAGATCATAACCTGAGCCGAAGTCGGACGCTTAACTGACTGAGCCACCCAGGCGCCCCGCCTGCTACTTGGTCCTTATCTTGATGTTGGGCTTGAACTGGACAGTCTCTGTTGGTGTCCCTGACACGTGTTCAAGGATACATCGGGAATCCACACCTTTTGCTACATGCCAGACATCTGACCTTAAAGTGCTGAGAGGTCTGACCTCAGTGTCCCCCCACCCCTCCTGTCACCCACCAGTTGATGCATGCACGCACACACCTGGGTGCACATTTCATAGATTAGTAAGTAGAATATCACGAAGAGAAGTGACTTGCCCAGAAGGACACTGCCTGTTGTGTGAGCGTTTTGGCTCAAGGGAAAGACCTCACTACGCTAAGGCTCCTGTCCATTTTCCTTTTTCACTTCCATGAAGAGAATCCCATTGGGTTGTTGTTTCAGACCTACAATTTATGGAATCACATTCTTAGCTCCAGTCTAAATGTTCAGTGATATCAGCAGAAGAACAGCAAGGCCAGGTCTGTGTCATTTCCTATAACCACAAAGTAATTGGTATACAAATATATTTTTGAGGGGTGCCTGAGTGGCTCAGTTGAGCAAACAATTCTTTTTTTAAAAAACTTTGTCAACGTTTATTCACTCTTAAGAGACAGGGAGACACAGAGCACAAGCTGGGGAGGTGCGGAGAGAGGGAGACACAGAATGTGAAGCAGCTCCAGGCTCTGAGCTGTCAGCACACGGCCAGACTCAGAGCTCAAACACAGACCGTGAGATCATGGCCTGAGCCAAAGTCAGAGGCTCAACTGACTGAGCCACCCAGGTGCCCCTAAGCAACTGATTCTTGATTTTGGTTCAGGTCATGATCTCACACTTCGTGAGACTGAGGCCTGAGTTGAGCTCTGCGCTAAGTGTGGAGCCTGTTTGGGATTCTCTCTCTCTCTCTCTCTCTCTCTCTCTCTCTCTCTCTCTGCGCCCCCCCCCCAAAGTAAATAAATACACTTTAAATGGTTTAAAACCTATACTTGAAAGATGTTAAATGTTAAAAAGCCAATACTCATTAAGTGTTCCCTAGCACTGGGTCTTGCGATAAGCACGTTGTATGTACTAACTCATTTAATCCCCACAAGAGACCCATGAGGTATCTATAGACGATCCCTGACTTATGGTGGTTTAATTTATGAGTTTTTGACTACACAGTGATGCAAAAGTGAGACACATTCAGTAGAAACCACACATTGAATGTTTAATTTCCCCCAGGCTGATGATATGCGGTGCGATCCTTTCTCCTGAGGCTGGGCAGTGGCAGTTGGCCATGGCTCCCAGCCAGCCACGCAATCACAACGGCAAATAACCAACACACTCACAACCATTCTGCTTATCACTTTCACTACAGGATTCAATAAATTCAAATAAATTTTAAAAAAAATGTATCACCCTGTTATAAAATCAGCTTGGTGTTAGATGACTCTGCCCAAGTATCGGCGAACTTTAAGTGTTCTCAGCACATTTAGAGTAGGTGAGGATAAGCTATGACATTCAGCAGTCTAGGTGTATGCAATGCGTTTTTGACTTACGATATTTTCAACGTACAATGGGTCTAGTGGGACATAACCCCGTCGTGAGTCAAGGAAGATCCGTACTAGCATTTTCCAGCTTTATGGATGAGGAAACTAAGGGACGTGGAGATTAGGTTACTTGCCCAAGACCACACTGCTAGTAAATAACAGAGCTGGAATTCAACCCGGGAGGTCTGGCTCCAGAGCCATACTTTTAAGTGCTATGCTGGGCTGTCAAAAATATCGCGGCAGCTGAAGAAATAGTCCAAATCAAATACAACTCGATTTGTTGAGAATAGTCACTGACCTCTGCACAGCTCCCTGCTCATGGCTTTTATCTACTCTTTCAGTGAACAGTCTCTCACCGGTGCTCCGACCCCACAGAGGATGTGGGAGACTCAGAGAGGGAAAGTGACTTATGCAGTAAATGGCAGCATCAAAATTTGAGCCTAGTCCAAATTAGGGACTCTTATTTTACCTCCATTTTATCAAAGGGAAATTGAGGCCCAACGGGGTTAAGTGAGATACACTCTCTCTCTCTGCAGGAAGCCTGGCACAGCCATTCGCATGGGGCTAAACATGTGTGAACTCCCAAGTCAAACCCTGTCTCTGGACTGAATGATTTCAGGTTACTAGACTCCTCAGACTCTTGGGGGAGCCTAGGGTCTCCGCTGCACTCACGTCGGGGAGAGGAGATTTACCCACGACTCGGGCAAACACTGCAGGAGAATGAGAAGACAATTAGGGAGAGGAGTGAGGCACAGAGTGAGCAGGGCTGAGGCTGTCTGAGAATTTGGGGTCCAGGCTCCTGTGTGCAGGGGTGGCTATGGACCCATGATCGGGACACCTTTGGAGAGGAGCCAAAAGAACACCGACTTAGTCCTGCAGGACATAGCATTTGCTATCAGT